ATTTAGTCAAGTTATTAAATTGGTATATATGTACAAATAGTAAGGTCTTACGAGATTCAATTTGCTCATGAAAGTTTAAATTAGTGTGAGAGAAATTTTAATTCTCCCCTAAAAATCTTTTTAAACATATATATATATTTTTTTTCATTGTAAATGGACACAATACTTTTATTTTATTTGTTTATTTTATGTGGTGCCAGGGATTGAACCTAGTGCCTCATGCATAGAAGGCAAGTGCTCTACCACTGAGCCACAACCCTGGTAAGTCTACTTTTGAGTACATGCTGGGTCTCATCACAAGTATTTTTAGTTGATCTGAACTTTCAAAACAAAGTATTTGATAATCATAAGTTCATCTTAGATATTATCAGAAAATTTGGTGAACAATGTCTTTAAAAACCAAATTAATCCCTAAACTGAAAAAGCTAAGGCTGGCCAGGAAGTCATTTATTAAAAGTTCAGCCATTGCCTTTTATTAAGCAAAGCTGATCTAATAATCATAGAAAGTCCTGAATCCTTTTAAAAGGATTAAATCTGGTTTAATTCACTCAGAATTATACTGAATAATAATTTTTAAAAGCTCAATTTTACTACTTAGCTCCCTAAACAACATATTAGTTCCCCAATAACAGTGTTATTCAATTTGAGGACTGTTTTTGAAGAAACTGAATAAACTCTAGAAGGGCTTGTAATCCCAACTATTCAGGAGGCCAAGGCAGAAAGATCCCAAATTTGAGGTCAAACTGGGCAATTTAGCAAGACCCTGCTTTGTTTTGTTTAAAGGCTGGGGCTGTATGTAACTCATTGGTAGAGCACTCCTGGGTTCAATCCCCAGTACTGTAAAACAAAACAAAAAATAAAAATCCCTCTACAAAGTATTTTTCAGTTTACCTATGGGAATACTACAGTCTAATTAAAAAAAAAAAAAATCCCCCTAGTCCGCACAATAGAGGACAAAACACATGTGGAGAAAATTAAATTCTTTTAGTAACTGATACTTCAAGACATACTTAAAGTAAGGCTCAAACATGCTAAATACTAAAATAGTAAAAGATCACTGCTAAATAAACTAAATAACAAAATATCATTGCTAAACAAGCATTTCAGCAAAGGTGGACGCTGCTAACTCGAAGACTCTGATGAGAAATAAGACAGATTTGGGAGGAATATCTACAGTAGACCTTCCTGAGCTAAAAAACCTAAAGACTGAAAGGAAATCAAGAGGGAATTATCAATCCTTGTTCTCAAGGATGAAGACAAATGGTCAGCTGGCCTACAAAATGTTCTTATTTACTTACTTATATTCTGGTTCTGGGGATTGAACCTAGGGGTGCTCTACCACTGAGCTACACATACCCAGCCCCTGCCCACCCACTTTCTCAACATTTTGAGGCAGGGTCTCACTAAGTTGCTGAGGCTGGCCTCAAACTTAGGCTCTTCCTGCCTCAGTCTCCCAAGAAGTTGGAATTATAGGTATGCATTACTGCACTCGACTTAGAATGCACATTTATTAAATAATAAAATACTAAGGAATAAGGCACAATTGGGGCTCAGTGAAGAAACACTACTGCTTGCAGCCCCATCTCTGTAGAGGATAATTTAGGTTATGCAGGGTAGTGTTGAACTTCCCAAGTCTTATGGCATAAAAATTAATACATTTACTTTGCAATCCAAGGCAGCATCTTACAGTTATTTAAGCACATCATAAAATTACAACACATTTGAGGAAAAAAAAAAAAGAAATGATATGTCTGGCCCTATTTTACAAAAAGGAGGTATAGAATGATCTGCCCAAGGTTACCAAGCAGGTTTAGCAGTAAGGATTACAATAGGATGTAGAATCCTGGACTTGCACTACATTCTCCTCCTCAAGCAATGCAGTATATGTCCAAATGAAGTAATTGAAATCTTTAAAATTTTTTTTTTTTAACAAACATAAAAGGTAGGGAAGATTGTCACATAACAAAGCTGAAACTTCTTTCAGTATCATCTTTCCCTGCTTCTAAGTCTATATAATTTCTTCTCTAAATCTCTAACCTTCTAAAAGACATTTTAAAAAAAGGAAGGAGGGAAGGAAAAGAAGAAATCTAAACTTTTTTTTTGACTGAGACTTAAAAAAAAAGCAGTGAATTATAATTACTGTTAAGGCCAATTCAGGTATTTAGACTGAACAAAATAGAAAACAAGCAGAGAAAAATAAAAGGATATAAATACATATTTTTAAACTCAGAAGTTTAAAAGAGGCAGACCTAGTATTTATTAGCTCCAAACTAGAAACCCATATCAATACATGACATTTAATGAATAAAACAACTGCAGGCTGTCAATTTTTTTTTAAAAAGGCACTCTGAAAATAGGTTCATGGAAATGAAAAACAATTACTGAACTAAAAATTCCAATAGACAATGAATAGCGGATTGGATATCACAGAAAGAACAAAAAAATAAATGAGTAAATCTTTTCAAGGGAATTCTTTTAGAACTCATCCTATCCTCTTATATTTCTATTCTTATATAGGACTCTGTTCCCATCAATGATAAATACCACTGCTACAGCTTTGGAGTCAATGCTTCAAAGGAAATCTCAGAGTTCTTATGTATTCTTCAGAAATCCTACAATTATTATCTTCGTTTTCTCATTTCTATCAACTGGCTTTTAAATTCAAGTCTCATCCCATTAAAAATTAGTCTTCATATGACTCACTCCCCTCTAGTTACCTAATTCTTTCTTCCTTTTACAGTTAAACTTCTTGGAAAAAAGTGTTGAATACCCAAAATGTCATCTGCCCATTTGATCGGATCAAGTCCCTCTCCAAGTCAATGCTTAGACTCCATCTCTGTTCATAGCAGCATTCAACACAAAAATCCCTCTTCAAACACTCTTCCTACTGGCTTTTCAAGATGGTACATACTCCAGACTTTTCTCCTACCCCTAACTTTTCTTTCCATCCTTGTGTCCTTTGCAAATTCATCCTCGGTTATCCAAGCCATTGTATACTGACATTCCTCAAGTCTTACACTAGGCCCTTTTTTCTGCGCTGCTTCCTCCTTAAGCATTCTTTCACATCTCTGGCTTTTACCAGTAAATGGCACCATCAGTCAGTAAGGGGAACAGAAACCAAGGACATCTTTGACAGCTCTCTCTACTTCATTTCCCATCAGTCCTTGGGTTAAATTTCCTAAATATTCTCAAGTATGTCCACTTTTTCTGGTCACACTTTAGTCTCCAAGCTATCATCATTCTCAGCTTTCATGTTTTGTCTCTTCCACATACATGCGGGTGTCATTCCAATTCATTCTCCAAACTATGTATAAGCCTAAGTAAACCTTTCAAAATACAAGTTTTGCCATATAACTTCTGTACTAAAAGCTTTTAAATGGTTTTCCCACTTCTTGGGGAGAGAAAGAACTGCTCATTTTAACTAACGTGAAGGCCCTGAATGATCAGGCCCCTTACCTTCCTTCTTTAGCCTCATCTTAGTTCAAACTGACCTCCCTCACATTTTCAACTCTGATCATGACTTTCTTACAGTACCTAGTACTCATCATGCTTCTTTCCTGAAAATACTTAAATGAGCATTATTTTTTTTTCACCAAAAAACCTATCTCATCAACTTTTAGCCTAGTTAATTTCGACTCATTCTTTGTGACACAAGCACAAGTTCGTCAGGAAAGCCTCCTTTCAATTCCCTAGGTCAATTCTCCTAGGACAGAGCATACTGTAGACTACAGACCATCAGTAAATATTTGTTTTAATAAATAAAACTCAAAAACCACCTCAGAAGTAAATAATAAAAATTCTGTAACAAGAAGAGAAAAATACACATACCCCACCAAAAGACTTTCTGAAGGAGAAAATAGACTATACTCAAAGAAATTTAAAAAAGGATTTTCAGCTGGGGATTGTAGCACACTCCTGTTATCCCAGCCGCTCTCTCAGGAGACTGAGGCAGGAGGATCGCCAAGTTCAAAGCCAGTCTCAGCAACTTAATGAGGCATTTAGCTATTTGGTGAGACCCTGTCTCTTAAAAACAATACAGAAAAAGAGCTAGGGAAATGGCTCAATAGTTAAATGCCCTTGGGTTCAATCCCAGGTACCAAAAAAAAAAAAAAAAAAAAAGTATTTTCCAACTTAAAAAGCTAACTGGCTTAATTGCTAAAAGTCCATTTCTAGTTGATCACAACGACAGAAATTCAAGGAAACAAACAAAATATCATAATGTAAAATTCCTGAGACAAACATGAGAAAATCATCAAAGGAAAGTGTCTCACATTGGTATTAGCCATCTCAACTGCAAAATGGAATGCTAAGGCAATAGAGAATAGAATACTAAGAGTAATAATAATAAGTTCATGAAGGTACACAATCACTCAAACTATTACTTAAGTGTATATGGGGGTGCATTTTAAGGGATACAAAGCATACATTCGTATCCTTTTTATTAAAAAAACAACAAAAATCCAGCCAAGCAAGCATCTACTGTTTTAAAACCAAGTTTTTAATCACTATATGAATTTGTTGATATTAGCAGAAAAATTAGAAGTAACCTGAATTCTTAATAATAGAAAAATTAAACCATAAAGAATTAAAGAATCACCCAATTATCTAATTTAATACTAGGGATCCACTCCATTTGTATCTTTAAAATGCAAAAAATCAAGCTGGGTATAATCCCAGAAGCTTGGGAGGCTAAGACGAGAGGATCATGAGTTCAAAGACAGCCTCAGCAACTTAGAGAATCTCTAAGCAACTCAGGAAGACCCTGTCTCTAAATTAAAAAAAAATATATATATATATATATAATATATATATATATATATATATATATATATATATATATATAATATATATATATATAAATAAATAAATAAATAAATGGCTGGAGATGTAGCTTAGTGGTTTAGTGCCTCTGGGGTCAATCCCTAATACCAGAAAAGGGGGTGGGGGGAGCAAGAAATCACCAGGAAAGCACATATGAAACAGCAGAAAACCAGAAATACCTTGATATAATAAGATTAAAGTTCAAAGATAGTTCTATCCAATTGTGACATCGGGGGCCTGGGATGTAGCTCAGTGGTAGAGCACTTGCCTAGCATGGGCAAAGCCCTGGGTTTGATCCCCAGCACTGCAAATATAAAAAAAAAAAAACCAATGTGTGACACTGAACAATTCCTTTAGCTTAATATCCTTCATTGATAAATTAAGCAACCTTGTTTACTTACCAATTACTTTCTTCTAAGAAATGTATAAGAAATGAAAGTGTAAAGTTCTAGGAATACCTAGGTAAACTTCATTACTAAATTTCTTTCTTTTCTTTAGTTATAGATGGACACAATACCTTTATTTTATTTATTTTTCTTTAGATGGTGATGAGGATTGAACCCAGAATCTCACACATGCTAGGCAAGTGTTCTACCACTGGGCTACAACCCCAACCCAGTGCACTAATTTTTTAGTCTAAAAGGATGCTGATGAATTCCCATTAAAATTTTACTCTAGGTACCAATAAGATGATTATGAGAAACAAGATTTACTTTACTACAGCAGAAAGACTGATTTGTAAGAAATAAAGAGAGAAAAAAGAAGCTATGAACTAGGACTGCAAGTTAGTAGCCTGAATTTTTCACATATGTTGTTAGCCCCTCTCCCCACAGAACAACATAGAACAACATACATTCTCCGGAGTCCCCATCACTCCTTCACTACATCTATCCCATTTCATCCACTTTTCCACCATGGGATCCGAGTCTGCATGATTAAAAGGGCTGGAGAAGTAGCTTAGTGGTTAAGTGCCTCTGGGGCTTACATTCTATGAGACTTTTCATCCTATGAGAATTTTCATCCTATTTTTGACTAATATTGCTGCCTTATCCAAAGTGGCAAAATGAAATGATACCTGTAGCAGGCTGAATAATGGCTCCCAAAGATATCAGGTCTTAATCTGGTACATGTTTCCTAATTTGGAAAAAAAGTCTTTCCAGATGTGATTAAGAATCTTGAGGTGGGGAGATAATCCTGGATTATCCAGAGACCTATGAATGCAATCTTATGTCCTTAGAAGAGAGGCAAAGATTTGACACACATGCAAGTGATCTGAAGACAGAATTTTGAAGATGCTGGCCTTGAAGGCTGGAGTATGTAATTATAACACAAGGAATGCTAGCCAGATCTGGTGGTGCATGCCTATAATATAATCCCAGTGACTTGGGAGGCTGAGACAGGAGGATCCTGAGGTTCAAAGCCAGCCTCAGCAATGGTGAGGCTCTAAAGCAACTCAGTGAGACTCTGTTCTCTAAATAAAATACAAAAATAGGCCTGGGGATGTGGCTCAGTGGTTGAATGTCCCTGAGTTCAATCTCTGGTACACCTCCCCCACCCCCCAAAAAAGACAAGGAATGCTGACACCCAAAAAGTGGAAAAAGCAAGGAATAGATTCTCCCCTAAAGCTTCTAGAATAAGCACATTCCTGTTGACATTCTGACTCTGGCCCAATGAAACCGATTTTTGGACTTGTGGTCTCCAAAACTGTAAGAGAATACTGCAAATGGTATCGGTTTAAGCCACAAAATCTGTGGTAATTTGTAGTATAGCAAACATGGCAACTAACAATACCCAATAGTCAAGTCCTCCTTCTGGGAAAGAAAATCTCACAAGTGAAGATGAAGTCTGTAGTAAATTCAATTAAGTAGCAAGAGAAAAATTGACAGTTTCTTCCTATGACAAGCTAATAGGATTAGTTCGCTATTACTTCTCTCAAAAAAACCTGAGAACTGTAACTAAAATGTTACTTCTATATAAATCAGCCTATCAGTTTAAATTCAAAGGAGGAACATATGAATGGATTCCAGGTATTCTGAGGAGTCAAGAAGTATCTAGTCATGCTATTTTTGGGTAAGGGAGAAAAAACTACCATCATTTAAACCAAAAACAGAAACAAAATTTATGGAACCCAAACAGACAGGTTCTGAATAAAACTATTAACTTTTAAAAGAGTACTCAGAACACTTCCATCTGAAAGATCCAGCCTACAAGAAAACTAAATAACAATTAACAGATAAGAAAATAAAAGAAAATCTGGAGATGAAAAATAAGACTGTAAAAAGTATTAATAGAGTTAAGAAAAGAAATTTAAGAGATTTAAAAAAAATCATTGTAATATTTCAAATGGCATGAGAAGAAATAGTGAGGAATGAAGATCTGAAAGCAAACAATCTGAAAAGGGAAAAAACAGAAATGAGAAATCATCCAGTATGCAAATAAGCAAAAAGAAACAAAAGTAGGTAGATTGGAGGAGAGAAAAAAAGGAAGCTCCAACAGCCTAATTAGTATATCATAAAAAGAAAATGAAACAATTCAAAAGGAATTAAATTCCTAAGAAACTAATTTGAAAGATATAAATTTGATGACTTAAAGGAGTCATCAAGAAACAAAATGAGGGCTGGGGTTGTGGCTCAGTTATAGAGCACTTGCCTAGCATGTGTGAGGGTACTGGGTTTGATTCTCATCACCACATATATTGTAAATAAATAAAGATTCATCAACAACTTAAAAAAAAAAGACCAACATCAAACCATAAATTGGTTATTAAAAAAAAAAAAAAAGATAGGGCGTGGAGGCGCATTCCTGTAATCCAGGCAGCTCCGAGGTCTGAGTCAGGAGAATCAAAGCCAGCCTCAGCAACAGCGAAGCACTAAGTAATTCAGTGAGACCCTGTTTCTAAATAAAACACAAAATAGGGCTAGGGATGTAGCTCAGTGGTTGAGTGCCCCTGAGTTCAATCCCAGATACTCCTCCCACCAAAAAAAAAAAAAAAAAAAGAATTTTCATAAGAAAATAATTCAAACAAACTAAATATGCCAAAAAATAATAAAAATAGAAACAAATCAGGCTGACCCTAGACATCTTCATAACAGACAGGCAAAATGAGGTAATGCCTTTAAATGATGGTATAATACAGCAATTCCACTCCCAGCAAAATAATTTATAATGTGAAGGCAACAGAAAGACATCATAAAATATTACAGCACTGTTATTATTCATGGGGGATTTCTTTAAAAACAACCCAACAACTACAAGAACCATGTAAAGATAGATTTAAGCAACTGAGGGTAAAGAAAACAAAAAACTCCAGGAAAAAAAAAAAAAAAGAAAGTGAAATGATACAGATTATCTGATGTTAATATAATAACAGACACTGGTAACAATAATGAAAGAAGAAAACCTCAAACTCTGGAAATTGCTTTAAAAGCATGCTAAGCTACTTTCCATTGAGTTTATTTCTACAATTATAGGATATTTAGAAACAATGTGAGAAAAAAAAGTCCTATCATATTCTATGAGGTATAACCAAACCTTATTCAGGAAAACTCAAACTATCTGGGGGTGGTAGAATAGCAGTATATTAAACATTCAATTCATAACACAAAACAACGAAAATAGTATACTAAACATTCAACTCAACCACCATAAACATACACAAAATAAGAAAAGCTAAAGGAATATATTATGAAATATTAAGGTAAACCTTAAGTTATATAAGAGGAAAAATGAATAAAACAGGTAATCCACTATTTAATTTAACAGAGAAAAATAATTATTTAAAATTAGAGACCAAATAGGTTATACACACCTAACAGAAAATTATTTGAAAATTAAAAAAAAAAGCCTACACTGTACAATTCTATTAATAAAATAGAGAATATGGAGGTGTTGAAACAGTTCTTGGAAACAGATTATATTTGCCCCCCAAGAAGTACTGAATAAAGACTAGCAACTTTGGCAAAGAACTATCCCCTCAAAACACTTCACACTTCATGAAATATGAAAAACTTAAAAAAAGGTTAAGAACGTTTCAGGTTAAAAGACATATGACAACAAAATGTAATATGTAATGGCAGGATGGGGAGGACTGCTGCAAAGAACATTACTGGGACAATTTGATTAAATCTATACATTTATATCAAATGTATATAGATAACATCATTGTATACATGTTACAATTCATAAATTTGATCACTGAACTATTGTTATATAAGAGAATGTCCTAAATTCTTATCCTTAGGGGATATACATTTAAATATTAAGAGTAAAGAGGCATGCTGTCCACACTGAGACTTAACTGGGTTTAGAAAACCAAAAATTAACAAAATATGCATGTACTGCCAAGAGAATATCCATATTCAGGCACACAGGGAAAAAGGTTTGCAAAACAAACATGACAAAATGTTAATAACTTGTCATTTAGGAAAAGAGTTCATTGTACTTTTTTTTTTTTGCAACTTTTGGATTATTTTCAAACTGAAGTTATTAAAAATAAAAGTGAATTAGGCAAGACAATTTCAAAACCAAGATCTTTTAATCCCTAAAGGAGCTGTTTATGATTTAGACATGATTTACACACACACACACACACACACACACAAACATATGTGTATATATATAAACATATTTTGCATATTTTAGCTGTAGTCAGACACAATATCTTTTATTTATTTATTTATTTATTATGTGGTGCTGATCGAACCCAGTGCCTCGCACAAGCTAAGGAAGTCCTCTACCGCTGAGCCACAACCCCAGCCCCAGGTTATGAGTTTTAACCTAATCAGTGCATTAATCCACTGATATGGATTAACTGGGCAATAATTATAGGCAGGTAGGGTGTGGCTGGAGGAAGTAGGTCACTGGGTGTGTGTGTTGGGGGTTTACATTTTGTCCCTAGTGAGCAAAGCTGTTTTCCTCCTCCACGTCCTTCCACCATGATGTTTGGCCTCAGCTCCGGCCCAGAACAATGGATCCAGCCATCTACAGACTGAGACCTCTGAAACTGTGAGAGCCTGAATAAACTTTTCCTCTTCTACACTGTTCTTGTCGGGTCTTTTGGTCACAGCAATGAAAAAGCTGACAAAAACAGAAGTATACTGTACAACTCCCCAAAATACCTAGAGATCACAAACACACACAAAAAGAACTTCCTGTTTACTTTTACAGATCCACCATAATCCTGATATAAAATTTGATGAAGCCAATCCTAAAAATACAGAACTGCCATCCAAACATGTTCATTAACATGATGCAGAAAACCCTAAGTAAAATATATGTCATAAGTCACCAAGTAATGTTCATTTT